ATTTCTTCCCAGTTACAATGTGGTGATGTGATGTCACACTGGTACTCTGAACTGGTCATGAGAGAAGTATTTATGCCATATAAATTGATAAACATTACAGACAAAAAACTAAACAAAAAAGGGCAAGGCTGGGGATGTAGCCCACTGTGAAGGCCTTGGATTCAATACCTTGGTAGCAAGGAAAACAAAACAAAAAAACAACAGAAGTAATTTATGTTTGGAGGGGCTTTGAGACATGTCAATGTTAGCATGAGTCATGTCTTTAAGGTTTGAGTTTTAACTGAAGAACACAATAGCTTCAGGACAGAGATCTATCTACAGATTTCTGCTAATTTTCATTCATTAGTTTAAGGGGAAAAAAAAGGAACAACTAAGCACTGTTAGCATTTCTTTCACCCAACATGTAGTTTTTGAGCTCAACTATTTCAGGACATGATCCTAGTACAGCTCATGGGCTCTCCTCTATTACAGGAGACTTGTTTGTAACATGTTTTGTGGATATGAACACATGTCTTCTCTAAAGGCATGGAAAAGTATTCTGTCTCCTATTGTAGGGCAGAAACTGTAATTCTCAATATCTGTTGAGTAACATGACCAAATAACATTTTAGCCAATGACAAAGCACACAGACAGGAAATGACAGTTATTCTGTATGATTATAACTGGAGTTAGGTGATAATCATTTGAATGCTGTAATGCAAAACATTCCAAGTGTTTGTGATAATGCTGGCATAAGCACTACAGCAACGCCATTATGTTAAATATGCGATATTTGACTACTTTCAAAACTAATTTACTGCAAAACACTATGCTATTTTACACCAGCAGCAGCCTCATACATCTTGTGTTTACCTCATACATTTTGACTACATCAAAAGGCCACATTGAGAGATCAACTATTTAGGTTTGCATTAAGCATACTCTACAATACACATGCCATGGTAGAACTACATAATGATACGGTTTTGGTAATGAATTCCATCACTATATACCATATGATTGTAACGAAATTATAAGTCCAGCTTAAACTTAATTTTTCCTGATCCTTTATTTTTTTCAGCATTTGGTATCAAACTCAAGACCTTGTACTTGCCAGGCAGGCGGTGTGCCACTGAGCTATGTCCCTGATTCTCTGATCTTTTTGTATCATAACCCCTGGGAAATAATTTCTCTGTTTTCATTTGTAATGATGCTAAGGATTTGAGGTGAATTTATCTAAGGTCTTATGCAAGGAAGTAGCAGAGCTGGAATTTGTACCCAGGTCTTTGTGACTGCAAAGCCTGTGTTAATCACTATACCCAATACTTTCTTGGACAGTTCAATGCACAAAACTACTATTCTATCCTTTATAACCATAAATTTGCCTTTCAATGACATAACTGAATTTAAAGATGTGTATTTTAGAGTTGTGCTTGTTTCTGCACAGTCTTATTCTAATAACAAAGATTTAAACATATTCTATACCTTGAAATAATTCAACTCTTAAAAATATAATTTGTAACTATTTAAAAAACAAATTTCTCAAAACCATGAGGTATTTACAATGTACATGCTGTGTATATGAGAGTGTGTGTTTTCAAGTATTTCAATCAGTATCCAAGTAAGGGTCTAGTTTCCTACAATTCTATCAAACACAGTACCAGAAACTGAGTGGCTCAGATAAACAGACTTATTAACTCAAAGTTCTAGACATTGGAAGTCTGAAATAAAGGACGGACTTTTTTTCCCTTCTTATTCTATCTATTTTTCTTATGGTTACAGAATTCAACTATCAGTTTTTTCTCCAAAATCATGAGCATGTCCAGAGAACTGCCTCTCTCTGAAACTTGTAAGAATCTTTGCTTTTTCTAGTTTCTAGTTTTGCCTGGATCTCTTGGGGTTTCTTCACTGCACCCTGCAGTCTTTGCATTCTCAGGTGGTCTTCTCCCTGTGTCAATCTGCCTCTTCTCCCTCAGAATTATACCAGTCTTGTTGGCTTACATCCACCCTATTTCAGTTTAACCTCTTAATTAAGAACATCTTAGTTAATGCACGTGTTAATTAGTAGATCTGAAAAACTTAGTTTCAAATAAGGTTATGTTTTGAAGAATTGCAGGTCAGAATTTCATTTTAGGGGAACAAGACAACTTACAACACCCATGTATTTCAACTGGAGTACTTACATTTCTAGCAAGTTTATGGTGGTATGTATACAGATTCTGCTTCCATCTTTCTTTACTCTCCGCCAACTTATTTTTGAAGATACTTATTTATTCTATCTGCGTTTTTCTAACGGTGGGACTATGAAACATATTCACTTGTACTTTGCTTATTGGCTTTCTCAGCCTAAGATACTGGCATTAGGATGGAGTAGTTCTTTACCCATGGGGTAGCTTTCTTGAGCACTGTACCATGATCAGCAGCATTTCGGGCATCTCCTTTACGTGCTGGTAGAATTTGTGGCTACCCACAAATTTCTCCAATCACTCCCTTTTTCTCTCATTGTCTTCCCTTGACTGAGAACTACAGTTTTTGTTCTAGAACAACCGGATCCCAGTACAGTTGGGAGAATCAGCCACAAGATACTGTGAGATTAAAAAACAAATCCCCCCCCCCCCACCAATAAGAAACAGGCTGACAGTTCCAGGATTGTACAGAGTGCAATTTATTGGGCAGCAGCCAAGACCAAAGAGATCTCTGTGATATGCGTCAGATAAAACTGACAAGGTGATCAGGACAAAAATGACTTCATCCAAGGTAGAATGTGCCTGGTTTATCTCCAGCTAGCATCAAAGAGTCAGAAACACTCCTGGAACCAGAGTTTGGTCATAAAGGTCAGAATACCACTGTTTAACAGATTTGTCTATTTAGAGCATATTGGGAAAATAAGCAGAGGAAACCAACTAGGATTACTCAGAGGTTGAAATCATGGCTATTACACCTCAAGGTGAGTCCATACAGTCATGGCAGTTATGTCAAGACGAATCCATACAGTCTTTATGAAATTCAGTTTAATTTTCTTCAAGACTGGGGGCTGGGGATTTAGCTCAGCGGCATAAGCACCTGCCTTGCAAGCAGGCAGTCGTGAGTTCGATCCCTGGTACCGATAAAAACGAAAAAGACAAAAAAAAAAAATTTTCTTCAAGACTACTTTATAGATCTATGGGTCCTTCAGTCAGGAGGAATATAACATCTGATAGCTTTTATCATACTAATTAGTACCCACTAGCAATCACTGCATTGCTCTTTATTTGATTCATGATTGTAAAATGGAGATACCCTGTTTCTGCCACTGCTCTGCTTTGGCCATACATAAGCTGTAAAACTTCCATAAAGAGACACTTTTCTTCATCAACTACCTGCCTGATAACCGTGAGATACAGTTCTCTTTGGAATGATAGGGTGAATGATTTCTTTTCACAGTTACCAAAATAATGAACTGGTTTCCTCCATCACCCAAAGGGGACTGATTAATTGTTCTGATCACAATGAATTCACAGATTCAGGCATATCTGATATATGACTACCCTATGCATTTTACAGATGCGAAAAATATCTCACATTTGACCAATGGGAGCCACCAATGTTGGTTCTTCTCCAGTCATTTTGGGAAGGTCTTAGCATCCTTTGAGGTATATACCAACATCTTGACATGACAAAATGTTCTAGAGGCTCATATTATGTATTTGCCTTCCCTATAAATACTGATACTAAGTCCCGACAGAATTTCCTTCTCTCCTTACTTTCCACACACTTCTTAGAATAACAGAATCTATCACTTTTTCCCTGAGTTCACATACTTTCATCAGACACAATAGCCAGCGATGTTAAGGGTGGAGGCCCAATTAAAGCACACAAATGCTTTGCTGGCTTCAGTTACCAAACACTGGTTTGTAGCCTTTTTTTTTTTTTAATGTCTGAGACAGGGTCTCACTGTAAATCAGGCTGACCTTGAACTCATTTTGTAGCCCAGGCTGGCCTCAAACTCACAGCGATCCTCCTGCCTAAGTCTCCTGAGTGTTGGGATTACAGGTCTGTGCCACGGTGCTTGGCCCTGTTTGAACCTTTGATAATACAGCCTTTGCCTGATTTAATAATGAATATTCTAAACAATATACTTCAGAGAATCTACATTTTTGCCTTCCACTAAGGAGTCCCATAAGTTTTGTAGAGTTTGTGGAAAATCTGTTTTCCATCCCCATATTCCAGTGCACACTCAACCTCAAAATCCAGTCTCCCTTTACGTCTTGTATGGCTTTAGTTTTAGCTGGAATTTTGTTAGATCCTTATGGTGTGGTTTTCTCCCAAACCTTGTCACTTGTCCTCTCCCTCCTTTGTCTGGGCTCAGGTTCACCGGTATTCCCTGGATCCTCAACCACATCAAGTTCTCTTCCTGTCTCTGAGCACAGTTCGTGCTACTGGCTCTTTGGAAGATTTAGCTCTACTTTTTCTTAGGGGTTCCTTTTTATCCTTCAGGTGTCAGACTTTACTTCTAAAGACTTTCAGCAGTTTATTTACTGAAAAAAAAATTTTTTTTGGAGCGCCTCCCTTTGTAGTGTAAGCTATTCTTGAACTAACCAGGTAGTCCATGGCGATCTTCTGGCCTTAGCTTTCCCAGTGTCGGAATAAAGAAGTGCGCCACCACACCCAACTGGCAGGATTTTCATTTTTTTTCACCATTATAAAGCTTTTCCCTTACTATATTAACCTTTTATGTTTCTTTACTAAAATTTAACAAAAATTTATTTCCTTACGCCTTGCCTCTCTGAACTAAATATAAACTCACATTTCCTTGAAAGCAAAGAACATATTTTTCAATCAGTAATTTTTCTTTTTTGATACCAGGGATATAACTTACGACCTGGCGCTTACCAAGCAAGCACTTGAACTGGTGAGCTAATCCCCTGTCCTCAATCAATACTTTTTAACCCTACACACGGAGCAATATTTAGAACTAGAAACTTAACGCTGATTGACTTAAATAAACATCAAACAACGTCTTTTTTGATTGTCAATCTTACCTAACTACTCAGGATTGGCCAGGAGCCTCCGCAAGGCAACCCGGACGGGAAAATCACCTCGCACCTGCAGCGCAGTAATCCCGCCTCAAACAACTAAGAAAACTTCACGACTGCTGGGAGGCGGGGTCCAGAGACTTCCGGGCCGCGCGGGGTGGGGGTGGGGGAGACGTGATGACATCATTCAGTCCCGCCGCAGCGCTGACTCCGCGCGCTGTGCGCACTGTGACGTCCGCAAAGGGGAACGGAGCGTACACAGCGCAAGGCATTTCGGGAGCGGGATTGTTTCGCGCAGGAAGCAGGCTCCATTTTAGCGCTGTTCGCTGTCGCCATCTATTTCCCTTTGCTCCGGTTTATCCTGCCTGGTCCAAGCCCCAACGGAAAGACTGCGACTAGACTGCCGGAGACAAGAGTGGAAGGAGGGCAGGAAAAAGGGAGCAGGGAGCGCCGAGGAGGGCGCGCGGTCGGGCCCGGTGCGGAGCGCGCAGCCAGTCGGACGGACTGACGGACCGGCCTGTGCGACCCCCGCTGCGGCTGCGGCGCCCGCGAGAGTCGCGTCCTAGTGGCGGCGGCGGCGGCAGCAGCAGCGGAAGCCGGAGGGGCGCCATGGCGGCAGACAGCCGGGAGGAGAAAGGTGCGTGTGGACCCGGCGGCGGAGGCGGGGCCTGGGTCGTGGCCGGCGAGCTCGGGGGTTGGTGCGGCCCGCGCGGGGCATCGGCCTCCGGGACGTGCGAGGGCACAGGGCCCAAAACTCTATCCTTCCTTGCGCCTGCTCCCTAGGGCCGCGCTCTGCGTCCTGTGTGGGGTTTCCCTGGGTCGGATCCACGCCTACTTTCCTGGGATCGGCCGAGCGGAGGCCTGCTCCGGGTCGCGGCCCTCTAGGTTTAGTTTCTGTAGGATTATGCAGATGTAATGCGTATTTTCCGAGCAACATTCTCTGGGGCGAAATGTCGAAAAGCCTTAATGTCATCTCTACGTAGGTAGTCTGGTAACCACATTTAATGGGACAAGCAGATTACTGATCTAGAAACATGCACAAGTAAGTTACTTTCGTTTAGTTAAATAGGGAAAGTGGCAGGAAATGCTCGTTGTGTTTCTCAAGTGCTTTGGAAAGTATAATGCTTGAAGAAATAATCCAGCCCTCCCCACAGGTCTGGCCATTATTTTGCTAGAAACACGTAGGTACATAGCTCCCAGAAAGCTCAACCAGGAGCAGATGGGCGCAAGTCACTTGGAGGAATAAATGGAAGAACTTGGCTTGCTAGGATAGAAAGGAGGTTGATGTTGTTGATGTTGCTAGGCTAAAATGCCGTTTCTTATTAAATACTCAGCTCTCAAGCTGTACGGATGTTAACGTAGATACTAAATCAATACCTGTCTAGCAAATAGATTGAATGCTGCCTGCTGTCATAAGATGTTTTTCAACCCTTACGTTACCATGACAGTTTACCAATAATTGTAATTGATGAAAATATGGCCCAATTGCTGCCCTTTGTCTCTCAAATCTCTTTTATGTGGCTACTGGGTTGATTATTTGCTAAAGGGACTCTGGAGTCAAGGTGCAGTAGACTTATGATCCCTTCAATTTTTCTGGTTTCTACCTCAGCAGGGTCTTTTTACACTGCTCAGTAAATCGGGCTTTGTGATTAAGCACAAATTTGAGGGAGTGGACTGGGTGGGATGTGCTAGCAGTTTGATTAGATTATAGCAGTTTTATTTGCCTGCTTTAAACTAATTCTAACGGTCCTCCCCCATTCTACTCCCCTGATTTTTTTTAAAGAACTATTGAAAAAAAAGAAACTTTTTAGTAGTAAATTCGGTTATTAAATTATGTAACCTCAGTCATTCAGTCAACATTTTATTGTCGCGGTATAATTTGTAGGCTATCCAAGTGGAAGTCTGTGGTGCTTATGATGGGTGAGATGAACCAAACTGAAAAATAAGTAAAGTCCTTTACTTCTGAAGAATTCTTTGTGAAGATAAACACACTTTAAATCAGTAACAGACTGTAAGGAATGTAAAAGAAAAATGATGGTTTAAAAGCTTTGTTTTAGAAATAGATTAATGATGTCCTCAAAATGCATAAACAGTCCTATTGAGAAGTATTATCATAACCTAGAAGTAATATTTAGAATTAAGTTTTAAAGTTTTTGGAAGAGTTCTTTGCTTCATGTTTTTTTTTTTTTTTTTTCCTAAAGTTTAGTTTTTGCATTTGAACTTCTATTTTAAAAATTTTGATGCAAGTTTTTCTCTGTAAAGTCAGAACAAGGAAAAACCCCTGGGCCCGATAGTGCAGGCCTGTAATCCCATCACTCAGAGGCTGAGGCAGGATTGCTATGAGTTAGCTGAGACAACTTGAACTATATAGTGAGATCTCGTTCCTTTGTGTATGCTTAAAAACACACACACAAAAAAGCCCTGGGCTTCACAGAAAGCTAGTACATACTTAGCATAATTACTTTTCAAACTGTTGTAGAACAATCTGCAACATGTTATCTCTTACGTGATCATTGTCACATACCTAGAATTACAATGAGAATTAGTATCTATAGGACCATTCTTCTATATTTAGCAAGGAACAATGGGAATGTCAAAACATTGTCATTTATCTTACATAAAGATAAACATGAAAACTAAGAATTTTAGTCATGTCACAAACTAAGTCCTTTCTTAAATAATCTCAGATGGTACAAAAATACTGTATACAGCAATTACATATTAACAGAACGGTTAAAAGAGTTTTTTTTTTAAAGGCAAGATGTTGCTATGTGAGGCTTGAATTTTGCTGTCTACTTAGGATGATCTTAAAGTTGCATTCCTTTTGCCTCAGCCACCTGGCCAAAAAAAAAAAAAAAAAAAAAAAATCTCTAAATCATTGAGCTCCTGATTTGTTGGGCTTTGTGGGTTAACTGATTAATACAGGAAAACATTGCTTTCTACAATGCTTCAAGAAGAGGAATGCTGTATAACTGGACATATTGTCAGTTCCCTGTGAAAAAATATGAAGGTTGTTATAGAATGTTGGTTAATGGTAGATAGCATTTTTTTCTATATGAAGAGTAAATCTATTACTAAAACATGTCTAAATGTTACTTCTTTAACTTATAATTTCTCGACAAAGAATAATTGTAAGTTTAACCTAATACTGTATGTATAATGAGTTTCCATTTCTTAAGTAATATGCTTTTCTTTTCTTTTCTTTTCTCTTTTTTTCCTTTTTTTTGGGGGGGGTGGTCTTTTTGAGACAGGGTCTCTCTGCAGTTCAGGCAGGCCTTGAGCTCATTGTGTAGTCCAGGCTGGTTTCGAACTTGCAACAATCCTGCCTCAGCCTCCTGAGTGCTGGGATTATAGATGTGAGCCACCATGCCCGGCTAAGTAAGTGCTTTTTATATTAACAAACTGGGAGCTTCAAGAGGGCAAAAAATACGTTAGTGTTGTTCATTGGTTCCTTTTATACAGTGATTTTGACTCTGCTTTGTGATTGGACTTAACAGCTTTTGAGATATGAAATCCAAAGGTAAGAATTTTCTCAGTTATAGCACTTGTGGACATGTATACAGATGTGGACACAAACCTATACTTATGTGAATACTATGGCCTTTGCTGTATAAGACTTTAGCATAAAATTGCCTTTCAGTAGGTTATAAAACATAGGATAGTTGATGGAAGGTAGAAAATTAAAAATTCTATCCCTGGGCTTTAGTTAGTATCTTTTGGAAGATAAAAATTAATATGAGATGGAAAATCCAAGTTCTCTGAACATCATTTACAAGAATGACAATTTGTAGCTGAGAAACTATGATAATGTAAAACGTGTTTCATAAGATAACTAGAGGTAGCTTCCAGGAACCCTTTCTCCATTAAATGAATTAAGTGACAAATCTATAATGTGCTTTGTGCCTGTGTTGGAAAACTTTGTTTGTAGTACTTAAGCTTTGTTTTCTTTTCTTTTTTAAATACAAAGCCTTAATATGTTCTGGCTCCTGATCTACATGCTTCTGTCCCAGATAAAGCTTGCTTTTCTACATTGATTCCCAGAGTTAACTTTGGGATTTCTTGAGCCAGAAATTTCAAGACCAGGGTAAAATTATGGTGTAATACAGAAACTATTGAAATTCAGAATTGTAAGATGCGAAGTTTTGGTTAATTCACCTAGTTCTTTGAGTCTCCATTTAGAATTGATGTTAGACAGATAACTTCCCAGGCTAAAACTATTTTGAAAGCTAATTTCCATGTTTATCTAAAGCAAAAATTCTCCAAACACCACAAAATTAGCCTTTTTTTTTTTTTTTTTTTTTGTATCTTGTCAGTTTTTGAACAGATTCCAAATAACAAGGATTCTTTTTATTTGTGTTTTGCCTTCTGTGCCTGGCAGTCTGTACCTTCACCTCAGTGATTAGTTTGGTATTACTTTGTGAAGAAGTTAACTAAGATTGTACTAGCTTGCATGAGTAATGATAATGCTGAGTGATGATGAAAATTAGGTTACATGAATATAAAACATGTATAGGTGATTGTATGTTCACAGAGGAATCAAAACTATCAGGCTACTATTTTCTTTTTAAAATTGAAACAGCATGTTAAAATCATATAATTCCAAATAAAAATCCTGGTTTGGGAATGGAGTTGAAAAATTTGGAAACTTAAAGCAGTGCATTCTCTCAGCACAGCCAGTCCACTACAGTCAAGGATTGCCCCTATTAGCTTTCCTATAGATTCACAAAGTGACTTTTTGGTAAGCAGTAAGCAATATAGATGAAGGTTGTCCCATAAGATTTATATTGCCTCGTTAATCTTGTAAGTCCGTGAAGACTATTTGCAGTGTTTACAGGTTGACAGAATTGCCTAGTTACACATTTCTCTTAAACATATCCACCTTGATGGTTTACTATGCTAAGATGAGTTCAGTGTCTTGTACCTCAGTATCTTGAATTGAGCCTTACTTTACTTGAAATTGTTTTGTATCACTTTTATTCAAGGGTTACAAACATGCATATTGGAGTCAGAAAAGTAGTTAAAAGATAGTATTGTTAAAATATAAAGAATAAGCATGGCCTGTGTTCCCATAGTAGTACTAATAAGTAGCACTAATTTATCAAGCATAAACCCAGATTACCTTGTCTGTATCCTAATAGAATGTCATGACTGCTCCAGCTGGTGGTTTTCAGATAAAAACTTGGGTCCTTTATGATCAGTAGTCTTT